CAACAGTAGTATACAGTAATGTCCTAGGCCTTCACATTTACTCACTACTCTCTGCCTCACCCAGAACAACTTTTAGTCCTGTAGGCTCCTCATTCATGCTAAGTGCCCAATACAGGTGTATCATTTTTTATCTCATACAGTATTTTTACTCTTCCTTTGCTATGTTTATATATGTTTAACTACACAAATACTGACCATTGTGTCACAAGGACCTTCAGTATTCAGTAAAGTAACATCCTGTACAGATTGGTAGCCTAGGAGCGATTAGCTACACCATATAGCCTATGTGTGTACTAAGCTATACCATCTAGGTCTGTGTAAATACACTGTATGATGTTTGTAGAATGATGAACTCACCTAATGATGCATTTTTAAGAACATATATCCTTGTTGTTCAGCAATGCATGACTGCAGTTCCTCCAGGGATTCAGAAATTATATCACATCAAAGACAAATTTTCCTAGCCACATTGTAAAGAGCCCAAAGAATAATCATCCACAAAAAAAAAAAAAGTGGTGAGCTGTAGCTGTATCTCTACCATATTCTTATGACCTCTGATAAACTAAAACTGAATCAAAGATTTAAATGTACAAAGGGAAAGAAATATGAAACCATGCAGTACTAAATGAAAACACACAAATTCCCTTAAAATCTAGAATGAAAAAGACATTTCTAAATGACTAAAACCCATTACATAAAGAAGGAAATACTGATAAATTGTACTACATTAAAAGAAAAATCAGGGTCAAAAGACAAATGACACACTAGGGAAAAAATATTTCAAACTCACATCATAGGCAAAAGATTCATCTCCATCATATAAAAAGAGCAGCTAGAACTCAAATGGAGATAACAGTGATAAATTCCTAAAAATGTTCAAAGAAAATGAAAATCACTTCACAGAAAAATTAAAACAGCCCTTAAAGAAATGCAAAGGTATACAACTCATTCACATGTTCTTATTAAATAATAAATACAAATTAAAACAACACAGAATATTTTTCACTTATCAGACTGTCAAGAATCCAAATTTTCATAATACTCTGTTAACAAAACAGATCTCACACCATAAGAAGAATGCAAAACGGTACAACATATACAGGGAGAAATTTGGTAATACACAAACATTACACAGGCATTTATATTTTGATAAAACAATTCTACTTTTAGGAATTTAGACATGCAAGCATCCACTAGCAGAAAACTGTTTATGATGTATTCACATCATAAAATATTAATTCCATGCAACAAGGAACAGTTTTCGACAGACTGAAAACATGCAGTTGACTGAAAAAAAAAAGAGGTACAGAGCAGTGTATGTAAAGTCTGCTATCTTTTGTAGAGAAAATGAAAAATTAAGAATATAGATTCCTATTCGTATGTGTTTGCATATTAAAAGACAACACATTAGGTATACATAGTATGGTGGAACCTACTAAACGGATTACCTACCTACTTACGAATCTGAAGCCAGATTGCCTAAGTCTGTTTCTGTCACTTCCAAATTAAAACCTTTCCGAGCCTATTTTTAATATGGTGAGTATAGACATTCAAATACCTCAGAGAGCTGATACAAGATATAAATGAGTTAATATTTGCAAAGTACATAGGACTGTATTTGGACACTTAAGTATTATACACTTTTTTTTTTTTTTTAAGCAACAAACAACTAAATAAATAGAACCTGCAGGCATGGGTAAATATATGAATAGAAAGAAGTAAGGTTTGTCAAATTTACATTTTTCCAACTCTTTTAATTTTACAAATGTATGGTTCAAAAACAATACTAAAAGAATATATATACTCAACACAACTGTCCACACACCTATGTAATACAAACATAGCCACATTCCCAAACCCTAAAACAGTTATCCCAAAGTACACTGTGTTCTTAGAAACCAGAGCTGAATGTCATCTAGAGGAAGAAGGGGACATGAAAATATTCTTGGCTGCAGCCTCATCAGAATGCTTGTCATTTATGTGAGTAACACAAAATCCAGAAAACTCCCATCAATACGATAATTTTGACATTAAGGATTCATCACAACTGGGAGTAAAATGCGCTCAGCATACTGTTGCCGCTCTCAGAGAATGACATTTGAGACATTCCTACCTTCCAGAAAAGTTTAAAATTTTCCAGTCAAGATCACCAGGTTTTAATTAAGTATAAAATTTTCCCTCTACAACCTGTTTTTAAAACCTCTTCATTTTCATTCCCTCTCTGAGCCCTCAGTTTCTGCCACTTTGGTGCAGCTGAAGGTGGACTCTATCTTACAAAACAGAGCCTACCATCTCTGATAAGCATCTATTTCAATACTATATTACAGTAGCTCCTTCCACTGTTTCTTGTTACAGAATTGATAAGCTGGTGACCTGCCTTTTAGGGAGGGTTTCTCGCTCATCTATTTATTTCAGCTGGAAAATCACTCTCAGTAGATTCCTGAACTGAAGCTGCAATTGATGATTCTGCAGCCTGAGCCTCCAGAGGCTGAAAGAGAACTAATCCTTTTCCATGTGCTCCTTTACAAACTCTTTCATCATAAAATTGTATAGACCTTGAATAGCATTTTTTTCTGCTACATATTTTTCTGCAACAATGAAACACACTTCTACTTTTTATTTTCTTCTATTCTTCTCTCACACCTTTCAGAAAGTTTTAACTGTTCTTAGCTATGTAATAAACTTAGGAAGCTGAGTTTCTAACTGCTTAACCTGCTTATTAATTTGGTCTCTTCTCCAACACACATAGTATTAATGCTGTTTGCTGGAAATGAATACTTCACTACCTTATTTTTTTTTCTATGCATTAGTCTTTTTCTAACATACTCCTCTAGTTCTTAAGTTTCAGAATCTTCTTCTCTATCAATAACAATGAAATCAGTCAATTTTGAATTTACTAAAAGTATCTACCATTCAAACATATATTTTCCCCTCTTCTTCCCTGAGACAAATAATTCCACACAGGAACTTTTCTCTCATTAGACCAACATCTAGTCTACTTAAGCTTGAATTTATCTTCTTGCCTGTCTCGTTCCAATATGCCCTCTTGCTTGAGCCTTGTCTTGAATCTAATTTTTGGGCACAATCCTTCAAAGCACAAAATATGACTACGTTCAAAATCTGTAATGGCTATATTACCTTGAAAATCACCTAATGATACTGTGAGTTCAACAGATTTCCCTAGTCTTAGTTTTACCTGCCTTTAACGTCATCCCTTAACTGTGACTTCTTAACAGTTTTTCATTTCCTGACTCTCTTTGAAGGAGCCATTCCATTTGAGATCTTGCCTCTTTCTCTTTTTGATTAATTTGACTCAGGTTCTTACCTCAATCTAGTAACAACCAAACTTTTAAACTCTCCTTTTACCAATCCTATGACATACAACATTTAGATCCTCTTGAATCTCTATTTCCCTCTTATAGATGTCTACTTTAACTTCAAATCTCATTTTCTATGTCATTTCTCTTAAGCTGGTGTCCTAATTTCCCAAATTTGCTCCTAAAAACTTTTCTTTTTCTCCAGCTCTAACTTATTGCTTCCATTTTTCCACTGCTCTCTATTAACAATGAAGCATAAATTTTAAAATACTCTAGCACCTAAAAATCCTAAGCAAAAATGATTTTTAGAACCAGATATTCCAATCATGAGACTTTTAAATTGCTTTCTCACTGTTTTTGCAATAATTGTATTGAATGGTTTCTCATCATCAATTTATGAAGAAGGTATATGCTCTTAACAAGAAGGGTTCCCGTTGCTTTTTAATTTAATATCCATCTCCATAATTTGATATCCATACGCACCTCCTATGGATGGAGTCACACTGTGGATCTCAAAGATCAAAAGTTATGACCAGAGTACATAGAATTGTTAAATTCAAAGCCACTCTGAGATCATAAAATAGGAGCAACTATTAAATCGATGGCCAAGTCAGGTAACTCCAAGATTTGTCACTCCAAACTTCCATCTCTTGTCTCTGAAGAGGAGTCAAAATAATATAAAAGATCAGAATTTGAGCAGACTTTTTATTTTTTTTTAGACGGAGTCTCTCTCTGTGGCCAGACTGGAGTGCAATGGGGCGATCTCAACTCACTGCAACCTCCGCCTCCGGGGTTCAAGCGATTCTCCTGGCTCAGTCTCCCGAGTAGCTGGCACTACAGACAAGTGTCACCATGCCCGGCTAATTTTTGTATTTTTAGTAGAGACGGGGTTTCATCATGTTGGCCAGGATGGTCTTGATCTCTTGATTTCGTGATCCTCCCGCCTCGGCCTCCCAAATTGCTGGGATTACAAGTGTCAGCCACCCCACTCGGTCACAATTGGAGCAGACTATATATGTCCCCTATGTAGGCCTGGCACTAAACATTTCCTGAAAATACCACTGGCCATACTAGAAACACTTTGAGATCTATAAGGCTCGCACACAAAAAGACTCTATAATCAAACCCTTCTCTCAGTCAAGGCTACTTAGAAAAAACTGCGTCTACAGATTTCAAAGCCAAGCAGCAATAATCACTTGACCAACACCCGTTTAACAGGGATGCCTCAGCACTCCTGGTCAGATTTTGTTTGCTGAGTCCCTCAAAGCTTGTTGGCATTTTCTTACAGCCCAAGGTAGGCAAACCTGCTTATATACAAACAGCCTCTCTCCTGTGGGCAAAATTGCCACTACACTGAACATATGTGATCGGTACCTAGAATTCTGCCACAGCGTAACACTTCTCACTTTAGCCATGCCAAAAGATACAACTACACAAATCGCTCTGCAACATGGAAGTCCTTTCCTTTTCATTTTCTTTTTACTCCCATCCTATGTCCTAGACGACAGAGTGACAGAAGGTCCAAAATATAACGTCTTTCCATTCCCTCTGGGAGAAATGAAACAAAAGAAGTGGAAAAAAAAGTTCAAAATATTTCCTGATAACTGTTAGAGCAACGAGTGAAGACTGTGTCTTATAATTGTCAGCTTACTGATAACGAACCCCAGAATTAGACAAACTTACCAACGACGTCACGGGTAACAGCCAAAAGAAGATGGCGCAGAGGCAAATTCTCAGCCTTTCCGTTTTACAGCCTGGAGGGGTCCGGTTAAACAGGTACTTCCGATGAGCAGTTTCCGCAAAAGGAAGAGGCCGTCCAAGGACTGCGCGTTCCAAACTGACCAATCAGATAAATGATTGCTATCTCCACAGGGGAACTAAAAAGACAGCCATTAGGAGTGTTCTTCTAATATAAGTCCCTCTGTAATAAAGGAAACAAAAGAATTGAGATAGGTGTTCCTACCTACCAACATAATTCCTAGTAACACCTGTTGGGATCTTTTCTTTCCATGTCGCAGCTCTCTCTTGGCAAGCCCCCTGGCTCCGTGTTACATCTTTATCCCACTTGGTGATGAGGGAACTTTGAGATTGCCTGCAACTCAAAGCAAGTCATAAATCCAGTGTAGCCCATCTGACCTCTCCTAAGCATGCTAGGAAGCTAATTATGATGACCACATAATATTTTGTCCAAACTGAGACCCTTGAAAGTGAAAGAGGGCAATGGAATTAATTAAAATTATGTGTTTTACTATTTTTTGAGATTTTTGAGACTTTATATTGGTGGACCAATAAAGTGCAATTCAAAATTCATTTTGGAAATTAAATTAGTTCTTAAAATTAAAATGATATAACTCTATATTAAAGCTAAAACGTTTTTTAAAGCCTGTATTGATAATATGAACATTATAAAATGGCACTTTGGGAGGCGGAGGCAGGTGGATCACCTAAGGTCAGCAGTTTGAGACCAGCCTGGCCAACATGGTGAAACCCCGTCTCTACTCAAAATACAAAAATTATCTGAGTGTGGTGTCGGACGCCTGTAATCCCGGCTCCTCTGGAGGCTGAGGCAGGAGAATTGCTTGAACCAAGCAGGCGGAGGTTGTAGTAAGCCGAGATCGTGCCATTGCCCTCCAGCTGGGCAACAAGAGCGAAGTTCCATTTCAATATATATATCATTCTTGCCGTATGCTGTGCTGATGTATTTTAATTAGTGTTTTGGTCTGTAAGATTAGGTCACTGGTATTTTCTAAAGAATGTATTTTAATATGGTATTATTGCTTGTAAACTTTTTAAATCGCCTATAGTCTTCTCATATATGAACTTTATGAGTGATATATGTAAAATTTTTGACATTTTCACTTAACTCTTCACCATATATTATAGTATTTTAAATTGAGAAAATAAGCTCATAGAAATCCGGCTAAATAGAAAATATCCTTTCTATTTTTTTATTTTGAAATATGTAATTTTTCAGCCCAAATATATTTGCAAGTACCTTCTTTTTGCCTCTATTAAGGGAACCTATCTTCAACAAATGTTTGTATGAGACAAATTTCATTAACCTTTTTGTTATTTATGATTCTTTTGAAGGTTTTACAAATTTAGATCCTGAAAATTGGAAAGCCTTTTAAATTTTATGTCGCTAAAAATGTGAATTTATACTACTTATAGTAGAAATCCTATGAAAAAAAATTATATAAATTTAAAATATTCCAAAGCACAATTATAGAATGTGAAAATTAAATATTATATAAAATTTAAGATACAATTGAAGTTGTTCATATTATCCCTTGATTTTGAATGAGTATTTGAAATATTTTCCTGTGTCATGGGCTTTGTTTTTAATAACTACAATCTGCTATATTTTCAAAACCCCTATTTTATTGGCACAACGATTGAGTTCTTTGAAAATTTTCAAATGATTTTAACACAATTCAACAATTTTTTTCTGTCATAAAAAGTTTACTATTTTTGTAGATAATTTAAGTTTATTTACAAAGTTTTTTTTTAAGGATCAAATATTTGCAAAATCCTGTTTGGAAGCAACAAAGAAACAAAACGTGCTATTATGTTTAAGTCTACTTTTTTGTTTGTTTTACTCAATTCCAGTTTCATCACACATAAAAAAAGATTCATCTAATTATTACATATAACACTATTTATGAATATTAACAATTACAGCATATATATACACATATATACATATATACATATATATACACACACACACACGTATATATATTTTCCCCCCGAGATGGAATCTTGCTCTGTAGCCCAGGCTGGAGTGCAGTGGCACGATCTCGGCTCACTGCAAGCTCCGCCTCCCAGTTCACGCCATTCTGCTGCCTCAGCCTCCCCAGTAGCTGGGACCACAGGCGCCTGCCACCACGCCAGCTAATTTTTTCTATTTTTAGTAGAGACGGGGTTTCACCACGTTAGCCGGGTTGGTCTCCATTTCCTGACCTCGTGATCCACCGGCCTTGGCCTCCCAAAGTGCTGGGATTACAGGCGTGAGCCAACACGCCTGGCCTACAGCTTATATTTCAATTGCAGTTTAGATACATTAATTAATTGTGTGCATACCACAGCTCATTCCAAGAATATAGTTATCCCATTGGATTCCCAATTTAATATGAGTATTTATTTTCTCCTAGGATCTTGTGTTCTTCCCAATTCAGGTTCATATTCTACTGTAATAATTGATTTTAAATATTGCTTGAACTGAATATAAAATCGCATTCCCAATAGCAGCTGATATTTTACTCTTTGGAAGAATGAATTTTCCAATGTTTTAATTTGAGTGCATAAATTAAAGTAAGTTTTGGTAAATAGTAAAATATATATTTACAATATAGTTAGTTTTTCTAACTTTCCTGTGCTGCTAGTGTCCCAGACCACCTTCCTTCATTAGTAAGTATCCTTAATGATGTATTTAATAGAATGGTTGTTGTATTAGTCCATTTTCATGCTGGTAATAAAGACATACCCCAGACAGGATGATTTATAAAGGAAAGAGGCTTAATTGACTCACAGTTCCATATGGCTGTGGAGGCCTCACTATCACGGTAGAGGATGAAGAAAGAGCAAAGTGATGTCTTACATGGCAGCCAGCAAAAAGCAAATGAGAGTCAAGTGAAAGGGGTTGCCCTTATAAAACCAACAGATTTCATGAGACTTATTCACTACCACAAGAACAATATGGTGGAAACTGCCCCCCATGATTCAATTATCTCCCACTGGGTCCCTCCCATAACACATGGGAATTATGGGAGCTATAATTAAACATGAGATTTGGGTGGGGACACAGCCAAACTATATCAGTGGTGAGTAAGGTTTGATCTGGAAAGGTCAGATAAACAGAGACAGGATATTGCTAGTTGTCTGTCAGGTTTGTCCATGTGTTATAATCATAATATTGTTTACTGCACACATTTCACACTTTTTAAAATGAGATGATAGCAGAAGCTACAAGTGCAAAGTCAAGATCTAACAAATCCACACTGACTTATTTTAATGCAAATATAAATAGTAATTTTTCAACAAAAATAAAACATCTGGGATAAATAGTGTGTTGAACAAGATGCCAAGAAATAAGATATACATTCTTTTGTATGATGTGTTTCTGTGAGCCTGATGCCTTCAGAACTTGTCAGATGAAGTACACATATAAGTCTACTATGGCAAGATCTTCTCTCACCTAACATCTTTCAAAGCACAAACTTTGTTTACATTCCCTATCTCCCACCCCTTCCCAGGTCTTAGTCTTAGAAGTGAGAAGAGGCACAATGTGCTCACCTCTTCTTTTCATGTAAGTCTCATCTGTCTGCAAAACACCAATCATCCCACCTTTGTTCTCAGTCTAGATCGCCTCACAAATCCAATTTGAGGGAGATGAGTGATTGGAACTCTCTAAAGCAGATTTGGCCAACTGTCAGGTTAGCTTTTTTTTTGTAATGGAATATGAGGAGAAATTAAACTAGAGGGCCAGGAGGAAAACAGGAAGGATAAGGAGATGAGTGGTGTATAGCGTAGGTCTCAGGAAAATGTGTATAGAGACATTTGGGGGCAAGGATATGGAAGTAAATGTGGAATATGGGGAAAAAAGATGAGAGATGAAAGGAGTTTTTCAAAAGTGTTCATTTGTGTTATATGTACACACTTCATGTTTAAGGAATCCAAGTAAATAAATTTCCTTTTAAATTAATTTGTATCACTGTGCTGTTATTCTTTGACTACCATGCTGTAATTCTATGATTTCAATAAGATAAAAAAGAGAACAACCAATGGAATTTAGAAAAAAAAATTCATACAATAATGTCTTGATCAAGAAAGAATTCAAATCTAAAATAATTATTTAGCTATACTAGCACTTGTAAAATGTATTTTATCTATGATACCACACTGCACAGCCCTGAAGCCTGACTGCGTGACATTATGAAGGGTTCTATTTCATGCTTTCTGGAAAGTTTTTGTTTTTTAAACTAATGGTTTGCAAGTTATTTGGCAGAAGTGACATCTTTATTTAGACCCTATGAGCGTATATAGACCATCTAACATTGTGAAATTTGAACCTCAAAAACTAATTTCAAATTTGCCTAGTTTCAAATTGCCACTTAATGGCTCAGTTGCTGCCCACTATCAGATCTGGAACTAATCAACTAATTAAAGGGACAGTTAAGGGAATGGCATAATATCAGCAGGAAGGATATAGCTTTAGTGGTACAGTCCCAAAACTCAGAGTTTCCTTGATTTATTAAATCGTATGGTTATTTTTAGTGAAGGTTTAGAAAGAAGCCTCTCTACTCTGGCAATTCTTTTTACTAGAACCTGAATGACCTCTAATTTTAACACCCTGCCTAGAAAAACATCTATGATCCAGTTCTCTCACAGTCCTGTTTATTGTGTTATGAATGTAGAGATATGCATCCTCTATGGGTTTCATTGAAGAATAAATAGTTCTTCCTCTAAATTATCTTATCTGGATTGGTGCTTGACTATTAGGTAGTGGCAGCATACACAAAAACATACCAAATAATACTGGTCAAAGGGAAATGATAGCTAGGGTTATTTTTCTTAGGCTACAATTATATACTAACTATAAGGTAAATTATCCAATTACATGTTTTTGTTTGTTTGTTTGTTTTAAGACAAAGTCTTGCTCTGTTGCCCAGGCTGGAGTCCAGTGACGCCATCCTGGCTCACTGCAACCTCTACCTCCCAGGTTCAAGTGATTCTCCTGCCTCAGCCTCCTGAGTAGTTGAGATTACAGGCGTGTGCCACCACGCCCAGCTAATTTTTATATTTTTAGTAGAGACGAGGTTTCACTATGTTGGTCTGGCTGGTCTCGAACTCCTGACATCGTGATCCACCCGCCTCAGCCTCCCAAAGTACTGAAATTAC